TACACCCTAACATCACTACTGTGCAGGTGGGCTAGTTTAACTTGATTTTTATTGCTTTTTCTGGTCAAGTGTTTGATTGAAATGAGATCTAAAAGCAGGGAAAAGTAGCACACACCATACACGCACGCACATGCACGTGCATATCTGGAAGCTGAGGTAGACAATTAGCAGAACATTTCCCTCTAGAAGTCCTGCAAAGATGACACTGAAAACAAAGGGCACAGAGAAATCCTTCTGTCTTCATTGCTTCATTACCCCAGGATGTGTCACTGTCTGTTGTCAGAAAGGTTTAGTACTGTGCAAGAAAGTGCTGGACCTTGAAGCAGATCTTTGTGGATAAAAGGATGATCTGTGTCCAGCAAGAAAAACAATAATATGAGTAAATACTGTCTTACAGCATTGCTTCATAAACTTAAAATTTTTCTTTCTTAAAATATCACTTTAAACTTAAAATGGTGACATCTGTATACTCTCAATGTCATGATACTAGCAGGACATAATTTTACTCTAACTGTACAAGTAAATATTAAATTACTTTAATATTTTAATATATTGTACTCCTTCAGAAAAGCTAGTACAATGTGGCTCTACATAGACAGGTCATGCTTTGCTCTCACAATGCTACCTTAAATTACAGACAATGAAAATGACTAAAAACTACCTACTTTGAACTTGACATTAGTAAACTTAATGCACAGATTACGTGAATAGCAGAAATTCCTACTTGTCTTTATACACAAAAAAACTCCACATCTATAGAACTATTACAGTTAGTGTAAAAAAAAATTCCTGTCAATGAAGCATACCAGTATTTAGGATTTTTTTTTTTTTTTTTCTGGTATTAGACATACAGACACATATCTAACCTGCATAAAAATAAATATAACTAATGTCTCACATATGTAAATACTTCACTCAGTGCACAACATGCCTATATATTGGGCACATGTTTATGTAAGCAAGATTTAAAATGTAATGATTTGATAACTTGCATGTTTGAATGACTGAAGGTGTCTAGGCTTTGCTGAAGAATTAACCAAGTTAATCTGAATACATACAGGCAGGTTTTGAAGTTACTGAACTATTTTGTGTGGTTTAGGATTTATCAAGCTATACTGCTTCTTTTCTTATGAAGTGTATTCATAAACACACCTATGTTTTCCTTGATGGTGTCTGATTTCTCTTATACAAGAGCAATGCTAAAAAAACTAATCAGGTTGTACATAAAGGTGCATATCTCAGATAAAACACACATTAATGAAAGAAAAAAATTTAAAATTATCTTTTCTTGTAAGGAGGCATTTTTCCTGGGATTATGTCATGCATCAAATCAACAGCATGCCTCTGCTTTTGAACTCAAATATAATGAAATTGAAAACTGGGGAATAAGAATCTTACACCCTTCTAATTATTTCTGCTTGTTTCATTTAATTTGGGTAATAACTTATTCATATGCAAAATGTGCAGGAGTAGACTTTCCATCCATTGTTCTGAAAGGCAATAAGCATTAGCTGATTTTCATAAAAGTAAAACAGTTGTAAACCATGACTAAAATATTATCTGTGTATTAGAAAAAAATGCCACTTTGTGATAATGGAAGTGCTTCTGTATTTCTAAATACAAAACTTCACAAGTCTTACCATAAAATTGAGCTATTAAATTCAAAAACTATTATTTGGAACAAATATTAAATACAGGGGAGTTTTAAGTGAGCAGAGCAATTGATTGTTAACTTGCACTTTGGTCAGCCATAAATTTAAGTTACATTACAGCACACAGAAAAAGGCTGTGCTCATCGTATCAGACTTGTCAGTTTTTGATTTCACCACTCAGCGAGGTAACTTGATGGCCTTAAAAACAGATTGTCAATTTCTCAATCCCAGCACAATTGTACTGGTGCTCAGCTGAGTGATCATGAAAGAAGCAAGATGTTCATGGGGAAGTGGCGTATTTCCCACAGTGCTGGGAGATCTGTGCTGGGATAAAATTCATATAGAAGTCAAAGACAGTGTCAACTTCTTTTTGCACTTGGATGGTAAGTCTACAGTCCAGGCTGGAAAAGAAATGCAGTGTTGATAGAACTGAGCAAGAAATGGATGGCAGCAATTATAGCTGGTCAATTATTATTTCTTCTTTATAGCTTTTTTAGCTGAAGATAAAATTTTACAGTTGCAGTGAATGGTTTGCGGATATTACTTGGTTTTAAAATCATTTGTCTTTTCATTGTCTCTTCTGTGTTTCTTGACATACTAAAGAAGAATCATAGACCTGATTTTCCTGCATTTGTCAAAAAAGACATTGCTTTCAGTTTAAAATTTTAATTAAATTTTTAAAATTATTAAGTTTTCTGTGAAATATGTAAAAATATTTGACTGAGAGTGTGTGGGATTATGCCCTTTTCTGACTTATGATTGTATTTCTAGCCATTGTGATTGTAAATATTAAACAACAATAGTGAATGCATGAAATAAGAACTATCCACAGAAATCAGATCACAGCTGTCTCACAGTGTTTATTTCTCTGTTTTTGGTTTTCTGTTGATGATCCTAGATTTTCTTCATTTTTAGAACTTTTAAAAGGCCATAAAATTTATGCCAGCACAGATTGACAGTATAGATTTGTTCTAAATATCAAATGATATGTGAATGCAAGATTCCTGAACAGTGCAAATTAGAAATATCTGTAAAATAGGTGGTTGCCTCTTTTATTTTACAAGAATTACTTAATCCTTGTAACTAATGTGTAAATACTTAAGTCTCCCCTTCTTGTTTTTCTTACTATTTTATTCATGAGTGCTATTTGATACAGAAAATGGATCAGTTACTTTAAAAAATTCAGACAACTTTACACGGGTGTCTTCTGTGATTCTGTATTCAGTATGATAGAATCCTGAATCTTTTATAGAAGTCAGATTTTTCATATTATATTAACTTTAGATTCTATAGAAATTTTAATTCACATAAGGTTTATTAATAATGTAACTGTAATGATTTGAATTAGGATATATTTGACATTTAATTTCACAAGCACTGAGTTTCACGAAAAAGCCATGTTACTAGTGATAGCAGGAAACCTAGCACAATTACTGGATGATAGCAGGCAATGGCATGTGCCTAAGCAGAAGAAACATCTTTACTTACGACAGTTGCAAATATGGATAATAAAATAATTTGTCAGGGTATTTCTCCCCTTCTCCCTCTTCATCCATTCTCCCCCTTCCTACAATTTTAGAAAAACAAATGTACCCCACAGAGGTAGTGTACCTTTGGGCTTAATAATGGCTCATTAAGTTTTTAAGAGAAGAAATCTCCAGCAGGCAGAGTGTGTGCATAGGTATCACAGGCTATGTACTATCCCCAGCTACAGGGTTGGGTGCTTATGATGTGCAAGACCAACTCTCCACTCAGTTGCCATGGTTATACAGTAGTGTGTATTATCAAAAGTAATTTGAGTGTTTATCAGCATTTTGTGGCACAAGGGTCATCTTTTGGCAATGGGTCTTTTTATGCTTTTATGCGTTAAGAATAGTTTCCTGTTCTTTCTTCATTTGCCCTATCCCTGGGGTGTTCAAGGCAAGGCTGGATGGTGCTCTGAACAGCCTGATCTAGTGGAAGGCACCTCTTCCTGTGGCAGGGGTGTTGTAACTTGGTTCCTTCAAATTAAAACTGTTCTGTGATTAATTTCTGAGTATGAGCAGAAATTTGTCTTGTGGTCCCTCTTCGTCTCCTCAGGAGTTGTCTAGGGGTGCTAGACTATCTGAGATTTGCTCCTTGGGAAAGTGCAGCACATCCAAGTGCACTTGGTCAGGGTTCTTTCCATCATGCTGCACAAACCTGGATGAAATGACAGGATATTTATGAGCATCTCAGCCACTGCAGTAGCCCACATGTGTGTAAGCAGAGACCTTCATTTTCCAGGCTTTTAAATGAATACATCAACCAAAATGACTTTAAGGAACAGGCAAAATTTTGTTATATATAACATTAACATCAGGCAGGAGATCAGGACAGACATAAGTTCCAGCAGCAGCATCCATAATCTGTCCTAAACATCAGGGTGCAGTTTGGCATTACAGCTACACCATCCTTGTTAGGGTGCTGCATCAAACTTTATTCCTTTTTCTTATTTTGGTGTTGTTACTTTTTTTTTTTTTCTTTTTAATTGTAGTTTTTTACTGCATTTTATTGCAGCCTCACATGGAGACTCGCCATCCAGTTTCACCAAAAGGAAAACACTTATTATGAATTTGTTTATTAATTGTTTCTAGAGTGAATTTTTTTCTAGTGTTGATCAGCCAGATCTTACACTTTGGGGATCAGGTATCAGGCAAGTGGCCATACATGCAGCTAAGATTACTGGCCGTGACAGAGCACTCTCAGTTCTGCAGTAATGTGAAACAAATATATTCCTAGTCTGTTTAAGGATGGTGTTTTAAGACAACTTAATCCATATTTAAGGAGCCCTATTTCCACTTGCCTGTATATTACCTCTCCTAAGTGGTTGTTCCCAGTCACTCATTTTCCAGTGTTATGAGCACCTTTGCTCTTCTGGTCCTACAGTGAAGTAGTTTAGGGCATTAAAACAGCATGAAAATATTTGTATTCATTATAGTACGCCTGTGCTGGTACAAGCATGTCAGACATTTGATAAATGTTCAATACCCATTAACTAGGCCACTCCTCTCATTTGCAGTATGTGACAAAAGAGCACTGAAGTCCTTTTGTCCAAGATCCTACCTGTACAAGTAGTGCTTGTCCTAAGTCTTGTTAAGAATCTGGAAGTGTTTTCTTCCTCAGATTCAAAAAGTGCCTGCTAGATTGAAAGGAAGGTATTAATGATGATTTAAAAGAGAAGGTGTGTGTACTCCATTTCTTTCTCTAACTTCAACATTTCTTCATTGTAATTTTTCACTGTCTTAAAGATTTTTGTGATTATTTCCTTTCTTTTGTCCATGTCCCTCTTTTGTTATAATTTGTCCTTTTTTATCTTTTGTTTCTTAGTTGCGATCAAGCTCAGAGATTGGCCAGGACCTCCTGAATGACTGCCTTGCAATCCAGCCCCTCCAGCCAGCCCTGTCACCACATGATGCTGTAGATAATACCATGGGACACTCCCCAGGGCCTGCTTGTGATCTTTACCCAGGTATAAAATAAAACAAATAAAAAGCTGATGTATGATTAATATTAGGGATCATTTTGTAGAGTAGAATGTACTCTGAAATCCATATCTCACAAGAAGGATAGAATATGAAAAGCAATATAAAAAAAAATTTGAAAAAAAAGGTTTTCTATATTTTTTGGAGAGAGGTAGAAACAGTCATACTATACCCATGAAAAGACTTAATGCAACATAGATGGATAGTTTTGCTCTATAGACAGTTGATTCTGCTACCAATTAACTTCTACCATTCCTTGTAGACATCTTGAATACATTACTTCATTTAAAATCACAGTATTTTTCCTCTGCCTTATTCATTGATCACATATCAGTTTTTCAATTGATCTACATTAAGGAACTGAAATGCTGCATTATGAAGTCACATATTTTGACTATAAATATACAATAAACACATTTACACTATGAATGTAATAATCCTATTGCATTGACTCATTTAAATATCTGAGATTTTCCTACTAGAATACCTTTGTCATACCTACCTACATATACAATTTTTGTTAACATTTAAAAAAAATCTGAAACTATCAGTAAGTTATGAGTGATAATAAAACTTAGAGTTTAAGAGGGCAATGGGCAGTATGTTAACATTTTTAATGCAATATTTTAGTAGCTGTGAAGGCCTCTGTTTTTAACTTTCAGGCAAAATGCATTGTGACTTTTATCATTCCAGCTTTTAAGTGAGAGCCAGGCATAGGAAGTGAATAAATTAGATTCAGTGGTGTTTTCTGCAGTGATAAAAATGACATTATATGAAGTGGCCACTTCAGTAAGTGGTTTTATTGTACTGAGAGGTTGGTAAAGCTAGCAATTCTATTTCATATTTTTGTCAAGGCTGCTGTGAGTCACACAATACTTGGTGATGATGTAGGTTTATACGACAAAAATCAGGACATTTAAAGCTGTGATTGATTGTATTCTAGTTTATTAAGTAGTTGGCATTACTTGTATGCTGTTAACTGTTAAGTGCCTTAGTCTGAGTACAGGCTGATTGTGACATTTACTATATGAAAGAAAAGGGAAATTTTAGATTTCAAAAATGTGATTTTGGCCAGAGAATCTCTGGGAACATGTAGTTGCTTATAGTTGTTTATTTTATATTGCGGATTGAGAGGGAGTTGGAGAGTGAGGAATGTTGAGATTTTAGAAAAAAATATTTATGGTTTTACCAAGTGTGAGAGATAACAAAGACTGAGCTTTCCCTTTTCTTTTCAAGTTCCTGGACAGAATGGAAGCTGGGATAAGAGAGTGTGTCAGATTTCAGAAACTGAGGATATTCTCACAGGAGATGGCCACAGCAATCTGTTAAGCACTCCTCCCTAGCTTCCAGGCTACACTCAAATGTCCAGCTGTGTCTGCTGGTTCAGCCCAAACACAGGCTGACAGTAACTTGAACAAAATTCTGTGCATGACAAGCTGGGTAAAATCGCTGCCTGCAGCCAGCTCTCAACTGGCAATTGTCTGCCACCATGATGTTTCATAGACAGCTTCTGAGACTGAGACATTACTTTCTCTAATTCCTGCACTGTCTTTCAATACTTGATGTTTGCAGCACTACTAACTATGAATCTTCTTTGATATATTAATGTATTTTGGTAATTCTTTCCTGGCACTGCTTCCTATTATATGGCAATTTTTATGGTAATTTAATTTTTATGGTACTTAATCAACATACTCTTATCAGCATTAATTTCTGTGTAAGTAATAATGTGCTTTCTCTTACATCTTCCCAGCTGTCTAGCACTTGGCAAAGTTCTTGTAGTTCTATTCATTTGTGTTGTTTCACATCAGTTAGAGGGTTCTATATCAGGCATAGAGCAGTCCATGTCACTCCATTTTGACAACTACTTGATCCAGTTGAAATAAATTGTTTCATTAACTACTCATCAGAGATGCTGCAGGATAATATACTATGTGAACAAATTAAATAAATCCAACAGGCAGAGAATTATTTTATTAAAATGGCAACATGAAAATTATTTATGTCTCATAGAGAGGGAAGTAAAATACCAAAAAAACATTGTGTCTTGCCTCAGAGAAGGTACCCTTCAAAATTCACTGTTTTTTGTTTTTTTAAAATATAGCTTTGGGACTTCTGAAAAGTTAAATACATTATTTTTACTGGGTGCTGTTTTAGACAGCACATTAGCTGAAATCTCTCTGCGCTACTTTTAAAATAGAAGGAGGAATAGATTTTCATTCTTCTAGTGGTGTCCAATCAAATTTTACTTACTTGAAGGTGACTTCACTTACTGTTGATGCACATCTAAAACAAAGATAGTTTTTTTCTTGTAGAAGAAGTCTACAGAATAAATGTTTGAAAGCAAACTATTAGTAATAGGTAAGAAATGTCAGAAGTATATGTTTACATGCAAGTCCATTTTCACTTACATGGTAGAACACCTGTAGTGACCACTGTATGTTTCTCAGCACTGATAAAATACATAATCTATAAACAGACACATTTAAATGAAATACAACAATAACCTTTTTGATAACAGATCTATTACTTATATTTAAGTCTTCAAAAGATCTTTTTCTTATCCTGTAGTCTTTATAACTTCATAGAAGAAATCCAAACTGACTATTATATTACTAATACAGTAAAGCAGAATTACAGATTCTTTGCTTATAACTAAGAGAAATTACATTTATGGGCCTAAAGAAAACAGACTAAAGGCTAAGCATTTTAATAGTATCTAGGCTTAAATTTTGAACAATACCTAGGAATTTTGGTTTACTTGATTCCCAGGGAGATGATGTTTTTTCCTGTGTGAAATAGTATTAACTTACTTTACTTATTTTTAGAGCAATCTGGAATCATTAAAATGGAAAGAATCATTAAAAATTCAGCAGAAAAAAACTCTATCTTTTTACTGTGGTGTTTGGATAAAACTTGACCATTTCATATTTAAGCATAAGCCAGAATGTGTAATTCATTTTTAAATGGTTACTGAATATCACACTAAGTTCTGCTCCAGAGCAAGCAAAGAATCTTTCAAAAGCTTGTCAAGTGCATAATTTTCTTTGCAAGTTGGAATTTAAAAATTGTATCAATAAAGTTACAGAACTTATTTGATTTCTAAGTATTTTTAAATGTCTTACGATGTATTGTGAAACTTTGACCTGCTTCTATGTATATGACTTGCTGTGCTTTGCTTGAGTAACACTCTTATTTGGTTTTTTCCTCCATTGAAATTGTACTAAGCTGGGTGCTCTGTGCACATAATAAGAAAAAATCCAATCCCCCAGGAGTTTGTATCTAAGGTAATGGTAGGAAAGAAGGTAGGTACAACAGGCAGGTAGAGGTTAAGAACATATACATGAATAGATTAATTAAATTATTAATTAATGAAATAATTTTATTAAAGAAATTGTCCTAGTGAGTCCATAAGGGATGTCTAAAGTAAAGCAATCTAGTTTTCTTTTGTAAGAAGTGGTCTGTTTTTTCTTTAAAAATAGTTGTTTAAGAGTGACAGCCTTGGAAAGTAGTTACAGCTCATTACTGGAAGAAAAAAACAAGAATGAGAAGGAAGAACTGACATACGAATGGCTTTTGATGTGAAAAACAGAATTGTATTTGATGCATGGGGAATGGATGCAAAGGGAGCAGTAATATAGGACTACCAATAATGAAGAGGATCTCTGTTTTCACCTTTTAGGCTGCATTTAAGTATTGCATACATATCTAGAACTCCTGCTTAATGTGATGTAGTCATAGGTAGGGCCATACACACATTACAGGGGGCAAAAAAGTGTTAATAATAATATCTTAGTTTAAGAAGGATAGTTTGCTTCCCCTCAGACTTACCCTTTTACTTACCAGTTTTACTTAGGAGTTTATGATTTCTATTTTGAGACAACTTCATGGTTCTCCAAAAATTGATGTAATGTTCGGGTTCCCATTTTTAAGAACATTTACCAATTAACTGCTACAAACATTGTAGGAAACACATCCACTTGCACCATTTATAGTTTAATTCATCATGATGAGACTGAACTTCAGAAACTGCAATCCACTAAAAGAGAAGAAAATGAAAGGCAGGGATGTGATCTAGAGATGCCATTTCAGGAATGGCTTAAAATACTAGTCTAGACCCTGCTTTATTGCTTCAGTACTTTAATGTTTTCCAGTATCTATGATCTGCTGTAAAATACCTGAAAATACATAGAAAGACCATCAGTGCAGGTGCTCTGTGTGACAGGCCAACTTTGGAGACAGATTTATTATCTTGAAAATGCAATTTTTACTTCTACAGTACTTCTTAATGATGGCTTCTTGAGTTTCATGTTCTCTGGAGACTTCAGATTTACAGATGAGCTGAGGAAAAAGGTAAAACAGAAAATAGGTTTTCCACTTGTTGGACTTACCACTTACAATTCAAAACAGCACATATCTACGTATTCCTGGCTACAAAATCCTGTGGACTTCCTAGGGAAAGTGAAAGAGGGGAGTATATGCAGGTGATGCTTCCAAGTGCAAAAAATATTTCATATTTTTCCTTCTGTGCAATAGTAGATCAGTTGTTGTCAACTACAGCATTTTTGGTAATTTGCAAATTTCTGCATTTAAATATGTTCCATGCAGTTACAGGTTTCTGACTCCATTGAAAAGAACTATTTTTTGGCCTCAGACTCTGTGTCACTTTAAGGGCTACTTTTGGCTTTCTTTTTCTTGCTAGTTTTTATCATGATAAAATGCAAATTACTCTATTTTGCCAAGGAATAATATAAATAGTCTTTTTTTATTTAGACAATCAGGGCTTTCCTTTGCAGTATCTTGATTTGTTAAATATTCTGTCTGCTTTTGCTGTCAGAATGTGTGCTTGGTTGTTTTTCAGTATTTTCTTCTGTGCTGCATGTAACATAAAATAAGAATTTCAAAAGATCATTCCTTTGTTTTTATCTGCTGTACTTGTCTTGATGCTATGATGAGAGACAGACATAGAAAAAGTAATTTTGGGGTGCATGAGCAAAGAGAAAAAAAAATCCCCTGTCTTAGCAAGAAAATGTCCTCAGCTCCTTCTTTGCGAGTTTCTCTGCTGTGACATCTCATCTTCCTGCAGGACCTGCCTCCTTGGTTCCTCCTTAAGATTTGGGATGTCTTCTACTGTCAGATGTCTATTGTCATTTAGGTTGTGATTAGGCGATTCTGGTCCACACAGAAATAAGCAAAGAGCAGAGCCTGGCACCAAGGCCAGCCTCCACTCCTCCAGCTTTGACCACCAGTGTCAACTTCCTTTAATCTTGACATTGTCTCTGCAGCATCTGTATTGAATGTTTTTATTCACAAAGTGGTTTCCTGTCTGTCATCTGGTCATTTCCACCAGCTGAAAGATGTGCAGGACTGCTTGTTAATGGGGATCAGCATAATTAGACTCCTGAACATTCTCTTAACTCTGTCTTAGCTTGGTGAATATCCAGTGTGTCACAAAGGTGGGCTTGTAAGGATTAATAGAGTCTTTCCAAAAATAGGTTGAAGACATGGGAGATGAGGTGAATTTTTACCTCTTTTATCTTCTGTAGCAAAATTCACACCTGTGAATGAGAAAATGATGACCTGTGCAATTATTCCCTTGAAGACTGATCTATGGTGAGGCCAACTCTAATGTAGTCTTTCTTCTGCTAGGATTGCAGCATCCATGGACATATTTCAGCCTAGAAAGATGTTTTGCTGGTGACAGTGCCCCCAGGCAAACTGGTTTAAACTCTAGGATTTTATAAAGAAACTCAAATCATTAGCTCAAACATATTTGCTAGCATAATGTAAATTTTATAGGTAGAATTTTACTCTGTAACCTAGGCCTGAACAATACTTTTTTTTTTTTTAAAGAGATAGGAAGATATGACAGACAAACATGAGAGGTATTTTTTATATCTTGGACAGACTATATGACAGACAAACACGAGAGGTATTTTTTATCTCTTAGACTATCTAATTGATCCTCTGGGTTCATAAAATGTATAAGAGCGTGTATTTGTCTGCCAGTCAACATCAGCATTAGATACCTGACACAAATGTCAGTAGAAATAGTTGGATAACAGGGTTTTCAGAGGTACAAAAATTTAAATTAGTCTGATATAAAACGTTGGGGTTTTTTTAAAAACAGGCGTCACTAGGAAATAAGGTTACGGGATTTGGGATCAACTAATTCAGACATTTGAACAAAGTCCAGTATTGCTTTTTGTTTAGTCAGTAAGGAAACAGACAGGAAATTTTCCTATTGGAAAAAATGCAAGAGAAAACACATAGAAAATTATTAAGCTGTTAAAATTTTTGTATGTATTACTGAGGAATCTGGACCAGTGATAGCAATAATGCTCTTCAAGAAATTTGTAATTTTTACAGATGAGGGGGAAATGTAGAAAGCATTTCACATTTTATGAAACTGTTCTTTCTATTCACTAGTTCTAAAAATACAGATCTTAGGAATGTTGACACATCTTCTACAGTAGAAAAATATAGAAGATTTGCAGTCTTATTCAGACAAAAAATTTCAAGACAATGAGCATTCATGCCTGATTTTATGGAAATGTCATTTGGAAGAAGGAAAGAATACTTACTTTCATTTGGGTCTTCTTCTTTCCTATGTATGGAAAACAACACATCAGAAAACCCTTAGTTTTTTTTTAGTTGCTAAGAGTTGGCACTAGAGCTTGACAGGAGGAGTTGCATGTTGATGTTTGGTCATTGATGAATATTGGTTTTGTTTGCTCAGTTATCAGTGTTATTTCCTGCCTGGTGAGTATTATTTATCTCTTTTACTTTCAGCAGCTGTGATCCCCAGCACACAGATAAATCAAAGTGGGACAGCAGCTGAGGCAGTGTCCCTGTCCCACCCCAGCAGCCACTCTTCCCCAGGACACACCATACAGGGCAGTCCTCTGCATCCTCCCCAGCTCGCTCTTCTCGCAGCTGCAGACTCAGAGAGGTAAGAGCCTGTGCTTCCCAGCTTGAGCCCGAGGCTGGACTGTCCTCAGAGCTGCCAGCATAGGGAGAAATACAATTGTTGGTGCACAGAAAGGCACTGGTGGCAGCCCTGGCCTAAAAAATTGTTTCATTAACTACTCATCAGAGAGGAGGTAGGGGTTTGTCACGAGGAGAGGTGAAATGGACTGTGTTATTCCAGTCTGAAAGGGAGATTTTCCATCCATCTCCATTTCAGGGACTTCCCCCAATCCCTTCTTGATCCCAATAAAGGGCCCAAGCAAGGAAAATGATACTAAGCTGGCACACTGAACTTCGGATGACCACAGCCATACCTTACAGAATGGGGGCCCTGAAATTTATGTTTCTGATTACCTGTGGGAGAAGAGTCATATTCTGTTAATATTTTCCCAATATTAAGCATTTCTGAAGGAAGATTTTTTAAATTGCCATTTTATGAAGAACAATAGATAATGAACACATGTTTATTTCACTAGTTTTTATTTTATGACAGTTATGTACGTTTTATTATATGCTGGTTACGTATGGTAAATTTTATGATTTTAGGTATTTCAGTGGCATAAAAATAGATTACTCAGATGTGTTTTGATTTTCATCAGTAGACAGTCCCTAAATTATTTTCAGCACTCTTTCCAATGATTTAGACAGTGTATGGTATTACAGATGTGGAAATCTATAGTTCATTGAACCAAAATCACCAGTCTGAAAATCCTAAGTAAATGGTTTTTAGGGGAAAATTCAGGAAGATAACATCATCACACTAAATACTAAATTCTTACTATCTGCTCATGGATACTTAAACATTATTTTTAAAATTTCTTTTTCAGTGCTCTAAGTGATAAATTGCTGTATTTCATTAGTGTATTTCAAAGTATTTAATTTTCTTGAGTGACAGATATGACAGTAATTTGAAGAGTACAAAATCCCCAATTATAAACCTGAAAACAACATTCACTAGATTTCAATTACTGGTAAATGAGCATAATTTCTTTGGATGAAAGCAATATTCACTCTGCCTCATATCAGGAAGACAGAAGAACATATTATCTCGATAAATTAACAACAGGTAAAAGTACATTTTTATTTCAGACTTCACATGTGAATTCAGCCAGTTCTGGAGCTGAATTGAGCTTTTTGGCATCAGTCTGAGATGGAGCTTACTGCCTCATGATCACTGGGGCCCCTCTACTTGGTTCATTCCTTCCTCCCCATTCCTGTCTCCATGTTCCTGGTCTTTTTCCCTTGTGCAGGCTCTGGCCGTCTGTGCACACCTCTGGGACTGTCCATGCTCTCTTGCCTGACACACAGGCTCTTCTGTTCCAGTGTAGTTTTCTCTTCAATGCATGGCCTGTCCATCCATACCCAGTGATTGCCAGAGCATGAGGTGACAGGCAAAGACGCTTTAATAGTTGTTGTAGGCATAAATGTCATTATAAAAGACAATTATCTTATTAGCCCATTTCTGAGGCTCTTCTGCTGTAAAAACATAGCAGATGTGCCTAGATTGAGACTTCCTTAATTCAATTCAATGAATGCATTTTATATGTCAAGATAATAAAGTACTCTACAGAATAATAAAAAGCTAACTTGGTATACGCTTTTTTCATGTGTTAAGGGTATACAAGCTCTCTAAAAAGGCTTTAAGTGCTAATTGCCATATGTGGAGCTGCTTGGTTAAAAAAAAGTTCCAGTGTCTTCACTTAGGTAGTGTGACAAATGGCAATGTAAATTCAGAAAAGGAAAAAATGTTTGATTACAATACATAGGGTAGAAGTTAAGGGAAATGTTCAAAAGAAGAACTAAGGCAGAATCTACATATTGAATCTAACACAGTACACTCACCTAAGGGCCTTGCAAGTAGGCTGTCACCTCACTTCATGGGTGTGATGGGAACAGTGAAAATGTGAACAAACCTTCAGTAGAGAAAGTGGCAAAGATGTGTCTTTGAAAGGTGTGAGTCATCCTGTTTATTTCAACCTCATTGTTGAGAGGACTGCAGGATTTAGGGGTGCAACTATTGCATTTGCTGCCCCTCATGTTATTAAGGGTTGGACTGGGTGACTTGAAGGTCCCTTCCAACCCAGACGGTTCTGTGGTTCAGGGCTGTGTGGTTCCTGACACACTGTGCATGCCCAGGGTCATTTTACAGCTACGACAGGCTGACCAGAACTTGCTTCAGCAGAAGGCTGAATTTGTTGGACTGAAGCTGATCCAAACTGGCCTGGCTGTTTGATGATGCTGGGGGCCAAACCTGTGACACTTTTTGGACAGCAGATTCAGGTTTATGAAAGATTGAAGCAGAAGGAAATAAGCACTTCCTCTAAATTTCCACATACCATGGGAAGAGAAATAATGAGAGAATTTCTTTTAAGTCTTTCTCTTCTAGGTGATGTGAGGGAAAGTGTGAACTTGATTAAGCCTTATTAATGTGAGAAACTGAGCCAAACATGGAATGCATCTTACTTTACATTCATTATGTGTACAAAACTCTGAGAGCACATAGTGCAAGGCAGTTAGAGAGTTTGAATCTAAGAAATCACATAATTTATCAGACAGCATAAATAATAAAATTGCAGCTTTACATTTTGTCTGTCCCAGCTCTTTGATACTAACTTTGAGTGCACCACTAATATGAAGTACTGCAGCTATTCAATGAAGGTACCAAATGTGTACCTAAAAGCATATTTGGAACAGGGAATATGTCCTTCACTACCTTTTATCTCACTACTGTAGTACAAGAAGGCATGAGCATACAAATAAGCTGAAAAAACAATCTAATTAAAACTCAGAACAAAAATTATGGGTTTATATGGCATAGTTAACATATGTGGTTCCATGCCCAAAAATTGATGGTTCTAAATGTTTGAAATTGATATTTTAAAATTCTTTCTTTATATCTTGAATTATTCAAATACACATCTTGCTTTTGACCAAGAACTAGCCTGCTAATCAATGTGACACAAGAACAAAATTTTTCATGGATTTGATGTTCCAGGTGATTTTTTATCCACCTGTAAACCAGAGCTAGCAGTATGTCCCTAAAGCATGATGCATCCCAGCTTCACAAGAATTTCTAGAGACTCTGTAAGGCTGACAAGAAGAACCTAGGGCCAACCTAGTTTGGCAGTACAATTACACTTTAATAAGTTCTGCAACAGTCATTCTTTTTACTTATTTGAGTGTGTGGTTATATTCCATTTATGATTTCACTGTAAAATAGTAAGTAGCTCCAAGCTAGACTTCCAAAAGCAAAAGCTTTTGCATAGGCCTACCCAAGAAGCCAAGACACCCAACCTTCACATGTTGCAAAGCCTTTTGTATGTAGCATAGAAAGGGCTGCCTCAAAGAAGGTTTTTAGTTAACAGTGTGGTTTTGAAATAAGTACACCAACTTCTTTCCAGGCTGGGACACTTCAGAGAATTGCCTGTTAATCACATTTTCTTTTTAATGGACAAACAACACATATAAATGACAAATGCTTGAGTGGGAGGTATTGGTAAGGCTAACCCAGAACCTGAGTCATAGAGTCACAGAAGCTTAGAATAATTTAGGCTGGAAAACACCCTGAAGACCATCAAGTCCAACTGTTAACATAACAGTGCTGAGGTCACCACAAAACCATGCACCCAAGTGCCACACATCCACATGTCTTTTAAATACCTTCAGGGATGGTGACTCCACCACTTCCCTGGCTAGCCTGGTACACTGCCTGCCCACCCTTCCTGTGAAAAAACATTTCCTATTACTCAATCTAAACCTTCTCTGGCACAATTTGAGGATGTTTCCTTCTTGTCCTGTGCATGTTTCTTGTTGTTACAGAATTGTTGTTACAGAATTCCACCTGGCTACAACCTCTTTTCAAA